TTTTAATGTGGTTCCAGAAACTTCTTTATGGGCATGAAATTAACGTTACAGAATAGAATATCTTCCCCCATTATTTTGTGTGCACTTGGTTCTTTTAGTTCTGAACCATCTACTTTTAAAATTGAGTTATGTTGGAACTACTCGATGCTTAGTTATATGTTCATCACTAATATTTTACTATTGTCAAATTTAATGATATTTAGATTTTTGCCATTATTCGCATTCTATTGAATAGAGTGAAGAGTCGGGGATTCAAATGTTTATTGAAAATAAACACAAGAATAAATATTAAATATTAGAGTATTTTCTATTGAAATTTTCATTTGAGTCAAGAAAATATTCTAAAGTAACACAATTGATTATGTTGTAAACTTCTCTGGATTATTTATTTAAAATTTCAGCCAAAATAATATTGAAAATACAATTTAAGTATCTATTTTTTTTAATACAACATGTGGGAGGATAATTCGAAATCACGACCTTTTGGTCAGAGATCAGAGTTATAACAAGTTGAGGTAAGCTCCAGTTAACTTTTAAATATCTTATCTACCCATTTGTACATAATTAATTAGAAGTATTAGAATTAGTCTAATGTCAATTTTTTCCTCAATGAAAAGGAATACTCCAAAGTCTTACAGCAATAACTTTCAAGAAATTACTGTTGAGTAGAAAAATCCAAGAGCTACTGAGTGAAATAAAAGCACTAGAAACATATGTTAAAGTTAAACTAAATGTAAATTGTGTTTATTTTTTAAAACAAATAATTACTAAATAGAAATAAGTTTGGCTCGACTCAAATTATTTTTGTGAGAACACGTGCTAAATTATACCGAAAAAAAAGTCTCCATTTAATTATTTTTTCAACAATATTATTGATTAAATAAATAAATAACGGTATTATTTTCGAAGGTTCTCCAAGAAGGGGTGTTACAGGTGATCAGCAGTCAGTCAACATTAGTTTGGGTGACGAGAGAGAGGGCTGAGAAAGGGAAGGCGAGAGAGCAAAGAGCACGAGGGGTGAGCAGTACCAATGTCGTGTCTCTAAAACTGACCGACCAACTTCGGTTCGATCAAATTCGGCCAGACGATTCGATTTTGTGACTATCCTTGTGCACCCAAGATGTTATAGTTAAAATTCTAATCCATCAGCATCAGCTAACCTAAAACGATCTGTGAATGCTCGATTTTACAGTATCGGTATGTATTTTCAAACTTCTGCAGTTAACCAGAAAGGAAACTTACTACCAAAATCATGTCCATTCATTCAACTGCGCATACTTTATTCATATTTCACAAACAGAAAGATGAAGAGAAGTGATGCAAAAAAGTATAATCTGGGGTGGCATCAGTAGCATCATTCATAGCTGTTCAATATGGTCAATTTTTTACAATGAGAGATCTAAGGTGGGGATTATTCTCCTACTTTACCAAGTCAAATGTGGCCTTTAGTTTGGAAATCATGACAGGGCATTCTCCCTTCTCATCATACTCTGCAAACTCACCATCAGACAAGTCAATGTCCTCAAATTTAGTCCCCTCTATCTGCAAAAAATAAGGTAGCTGCTTTAAACTTTGATATAAAAAAACTATCGTATACTTTGGGAATAAAGCTGCAAGATCACAGGCAACATTATTCTCCATAATTAGTAAATTGGACCAAAATAATAGACAGCATGATTATAATAAATCGCTAAGCATCTAAAGTCATATTATTTAAAAAGTATTAATGCTCAGGGTAAGGTCAGAGAGTGGGATTGTTATACAATGGTAAGTATCAAAAGTTGTAGAAATAACCTCAGTAGAGAATGAAACACGCTCAAGTTGAAAAGGGGACAAAAAATAAAGAGAATTTGTTTTATCAAATCAAGGTTACAGACATCTATAATGCTATACCAACGATTGAAAACTTAACCAATGGGATTGCACCACGTTCCACCATTTTAATGCCCCCACTCGGGTCACAGGCTTGCGCAACCAAGCCCGGAAATTGAAAACTTAACCAAGAAAACAGATTATAGGAAAAGTAGGAAAGAGAGAATGTTCTAGTCTCATGCCAACTCTAAAACACCGAATCTGCATGATCAACAAGTTATATGTGATTTTTGTCAAAAAAGAATAAACAAAAAAAAGTTATATATGACCATGGAGTTCAGAAACCCATATCATTTACCAGAGAACAGGTAGGTCATGTCAAATACTTCACGTTTATTAAGGAGTTGGCAGGTAGATAAATGGGGAACTTACAGATTCTGCTTTCCATCCAGGTCCAAATATGAAGTCCAGAGGCTCATAACCTCTGCAGTCAAATAACATCAAGGGAGATGACTTCCCTGATTCACTTGTTTCCTGAGTCAATGGTTTACCTCGCCCCGGAATCATTGTAACAGTTCCATCCCTCCCACAGAACTTGCACTATAAGGAAAACGGGCATGAAGATTGCAGTCAAGTTTGAAGGTAGTTTTATGTGCAAATGGAAATGATTGAACCTACTATTTGAAATAAACCATAGTTTGATGTAAGACAATTATCTCTGATCAAATTTAATTTTCAGCTGTTCCTTTAGAAAAATAAAAATGTAAATTTATACATGTACAATTTCAGGGTCCCAGTGAAAGGAGAGGGAAAGGGTAATGGAAGTAGAAGGTAAACAGAATATCATAGTGATTTTGCCAAAAGTCCCTAATTTCAGAACTGACATTCACACAATCACACTAAACTGGAAATCCTGAAAATTATTATACCTTCATGGTCAAATGATATTGAAAATTCTAACATATTAACATTCTCAATTTTCATACTTGCAAACTTGTATCTCCATCTTATTTTGATTACAGACCTAAATTTCCAAAAACACTGTGATAAGTTACTTATAACCCACAACATAAATAGCAAATTACATTATTTGATTTCGAAAAAAATTTACAGTTATAAAGTAAGAAAAGAATTAGAAGCTAACTAAGAAATTATAGTCATTACATGAGTATTAAAAAGTTAAGATTAAGAACGAGTCATGTAGTATTATAATCAGGAAGTGTTGAAATCCTGCAATTACCATTGCTTGGGACCTCAAAATAAGGGAGCCAAAATTTTCCCTCTCATTCCCTTCACTTTCTCATCAACCATAGAACGTTCATCCTTATGACACTAACTACTATACATATCTACTAAATATGACGATCTTTTAAAGAGGATCACCTTTTGAACGAGGTTAGTCGTCCCTTTTCCCCCATGGAGAGCAACAGTTTCGTTCAGGGTCAGACACGTTTCTTTCTGGCTCACCTCTCCACATCTCCCGCATTTCAACTTCAGATCGAAAACATCAAACATGTAAGACATACAGGCAAGTTCAGTAAACACAATCAAAGAGGACAATGCGGTAACAACCAATCAGTAGCAGCACAAAGAAAGAGAACGGAACCAAGAATCTTTGAACATCGTTTCTTCAGATCGATTCAACAAATATTAGAAGATTTCTAGGGATAAAACTACGGAAAACGACCATATAAGATCGAAGCAAGAGAAGGATGATAAAACAGGATCATGCACACATATAATATTCCAGCTATGAAGGCTTTACGCTACGAATTCCACAAGCTCAAGTGAATAACTTACAAATTCAGAAAGCGATAGAAGAAATCCAAAGGATTAATCAAATGAACGAAGAAAACTACATCGGGATGATATGGAGAGAAATACTTTGAAGAGGTAAGCGAAGTTGGGGTCGTCGCAACCATCTTGGGGTTGAAGGTTTGTGAGATTCTCGAGCTCGGCGTTGATCTTAAGCAAGAAGTTCACCATTTTTGAGCGGTTTGCTCGATCACAGTTCCACAGTCTGCGTTCGAGAATGCGTGCAAATTTGGATTTAGACGCATAAAAGCTATGGGTCGTGGTTCCGGTGCGGATGCGGGTGTACGAAATCAACCCATTTACACGACCCGACCCGACTATACTATTAAAATTATATTTTGGTCAAATTAGTTTTTTTAGTAAAAAAAAATATGTAGGGTGGTGATAGCCAATTAACCATGTTTAGATTGACGGTTAAATTTAACCAAATAGAACAAATGTGGCTATCTTTAACGAAATGAGTTATATGTCTTTACAAATTATGCTCGTGTTAGTAACTTTTGTATATTTTTAATGTTTTACTACCGTGTCTGCTTAGAATGTAAACTTTTTCTTCAAAATATTTATTTAAGTCCTTAATTTTATGTTTTACTCAACTTTCAAATAGTTTTTTTTATATAGGTCAAATAGTCTATTTAAAAAAAATTGATCAATTTGGTTTTTATTATTATTTTGTTTATTTTTTTAGTATCTTTCGAAAAACACAAAACATGTGTATTGACACAGGACTTGTACTAGAGCCGCATTAGTTAGTTGAGGTGCTCATTTAGTAATCATAATCAGATGTTAGGTGAAAGAATAATAATGAAAAGTTAATATTTTTTAAAATCTAAAGAACTAACGTAGATATTTTGAAAGAAAGTTTAGAAACTAAAATAGATACTTTAAAAGTTTAAAAAAACCAAGAACTTAAACTAAAATTTTAATTACATTTTATTTAGTCGTAACTATTAACACTATAAATTAAACGTTTGCGTGACATGCTTAATAAATAAATTTTAATTGAATGGATGTGATTCGATTTTACATTTGATTGTAGGCTGTAGATTTAGTTAAAATATAAGTATGATCGAATCATGAAACGGTTGTTAGAGGAAGTTTTGTAAAATTTGATTTGTGATGTAAGGTGACAAGTTGGGATGCTTTACCAAAAAGTACTTTGAGAGATTAATCCATTCAAGAAAAAGCTACAATATTTCTCTCACTATGTTTATATTTTTAATTATCAATAGAAAGGGGTGATGGTAAATATAGATATGACATATAGGTGATAAATGAAGTTCACCTTATAAGATTATGTTTAGTCTATTATTTGTTTCATAATTAAGTTTGTTTAAAAAAAATTTTTGTTATACAATCAAATCTTAAAAAAANAAAAAAAAAAAAAAAAAAACCTTATTTAAATTGTAGAAAAAATTTTAAAACTATCAGAAAATAGGTTTTATAAATAAATAAATATATATATGTAGGTATGAATTTTAGATAGGATTTTTAAAAAGTTCTTAAGAATTGATTATGGTTGTTGGTATACAAGTTTAATTTGGAAGAACAGAAAATTAAAAAAAAAATAAAAACAACCTATTTTTTTGACTACAAAGGGTAAATATGAAGCTTAATAAAAGTAGAAAAATCATAATTGAGATTTTATGGAGTATGTCTTAAGAAAAGCAATATTTTGATTTAAACATATGAAATGACTAACATCTCATTATAGTCCACAATGGAGATAGATGATAATTAAATAACAAAGCTTAAATTTTATTATGGTTTTTTAAGTGAAAATATCTATTTTAGTTTTTCAATTGTTATAAATATTTATTTCTTCATCATTATCATTAGTTTATCATCAATTATTTAAATAAATATCGAATATCAACCGCTAGTACAAAAGGAATAGATAAAAAAACGTGACTTTGAATATATGTACTAACTTATTAATGTGTGCATGTATTAGAACCATATAAATTGACTAAGGCAGGTATGAGATAGGTAAATATAAGCTACAAAATAATAACGATGACTAAAATAGTTATTTTTAAACATTTAGAGACTAAAATTGATATTTTGAAAGTTATAAATGTACGACAGATGTTTTTTATTTTTTATTTTTTTAAGATTTGGGACTAAAATACACTTTTTAAAAATTTAGAAACTAAAATATAACCTAAACCTAAATTGTATAATGCACTACACAAAGAAAGCATGGTTGCTTATAACTTGGGATTAATATTCTTAGATTCATCGTCCACTTCACAAACCTCCTTTGGCCCTTTATTTGGGAAAAGAAGATGTCGGCTATTCATTAAAGTTTTGAACTTTTTAGTTCATTTGAAAAGCACTTGACAAACCACTTTTAATTTCCCATTTCAAGAAATTGAAATTTAAATGGGAAATGGATGACCAGAAGTTAAGTCATGCAAAATAAGTAATTTAGGCAGAGATGCCATGCTAAAAACATACCTATAGCACACATATTTTCATTGCTATAAAGGATTTCCAAACCACTTCTTCAATGATGTAATGTTTGAATGATTTCTAAGCAATTCAACAAGCACATTTGTTAGCCATTGGTTTGTGATTTAAGGCATCGAAAAGACCCGAGTTTCGGTGAGCGTTTTCGATGGGGAAGAGATTCTCTTGCAGTGGTTTGAGGTTCTTCAAAATGTTGGTACTGACATTGACAGTCATAGTTTGTGGAGTTGTGGAGGGTGGTTCACTTTCTAAACAGAAGAGTTTGGAAGTTGTGAAGAAAATTAACTCTCTTAGAAAGCAAGCAATAAAAAGCATTCAGGTACCAATCTGAGTTTCTTCTTCTTCTCTTCTCATTTGATCTTTGAAACTTATTTTCTTTTTCCATAACCAATGTACAAACACCTGAAAGCTTACCTTATTCCCCCCTAATCCTTTAGCTTTATTCTCTAAAAGTCTAAGAATTCGAAAAGCCTACCGTATCCTTACGAGGCGAGAAATTTGAAGGACAAATCAAGAATTCAGGCAATCAGTTCAAGGCCTTGTTTCAGACAATCAATTTGATTGGAATGAGCTAAAACTTGCAGCATCGTTGTATATGTTTAGCTTTTCCATCATCTCTATGGCAATGTTAAACTTTTATAGCAGAAGATTACATGTTTTCAATGGACACTATGCCTTTTTAGCTGCACTTTTCTTTCTGTTGCTCGTAGAGCGAAGACGGCGACATCATAGATTGCGTTAGAGTTTACGAGCAGCCTGCTTTTGATCATCCTGCTCTAAGAAATCATACCATTCAGGTCTGCTTTTTCTTTCATTCTGAAGTTCTGTTTCACGTTGAAGAAACTGTTTTTTGTACTTCTTTAAACCATTAACCAATGGTTTGGCATAGATGGCACCTACTTATGATCCCACCATGGAAGAGCATTCAAAGAAAGCAACAGAAAAAAGGGAAGGGATGGAGGAAAAGGACTCCATGGCTGTGAAACAAACATGGAGGAAAAGCGGCAGTTGTCCCAAAGGAACAATACCGCTTCGAAGGATCCGAAAAGATGTCCTGCTCAAAGCTGACTCGGTAGAACGCTATGGAAGAAAGAGACCGACGTATTCGCATAAAATCGCTCAGCTTTCCAACAACCAAACCTCGCATGCTCTGCTAGTGAATCGTTCGGTTTGACTATTGAACATTTCTTTTCCCTTTTGAATTCCATTCTTTTCTTCCTCTTACCATCTACTTGATCATGGTGCAAAACAGAAGGCATTTCTGCACACTGAAGGATACAACTACAATGCAGCCAAAGGAGACATTAAAGTCTGTAACCCCAAGGTCGAGAGCGATGACGAGTATAGTACTTCCCAAGTGGCTCTACTAAATGGTGCTTACTATCATTTCGAGTGCGTCGAATCCGGATGGGCAGTAAGCATAACTTGATACCAAAGAGCTCAAGCTTTATCATAACTGCACTTTATACCCAGCAACATAGTTGCCTCTCATTTGAATGTCTACTGATTTTAACTTCTTTACATCATGATTTCTTCAACCCTTGAGGTAAATCCAAGTGTTTACGGAGATCGACAGACTCGACTGTTCGTGTATTGGACGGTAAGTCTAATATGCAGGCAACAAGCTATCTCCCATTGCTTGGATGCCATATGATAGAAGAAAGTACTCTCTCAAAAACAGAACTAACTGAAAATTGTTTTCTTTTGGTGGTATTAGGCTGATGCTTCCCATAAAACAGGCTGCTTTGATCTCACTTGCCCTGGTTTTGTTCAAACCAGCAACGAAATTGCTCTTGGTTCTGCTATATATCCCATCTCAACTCCAAATGGGCTTCCATATGAAATAACTCTGTTCCTTTTCAGAGTAAGAAATGATGCAGTTTCCTCTCTAAAATAGTAAATCCAATTCATTGCTTCCTTTTTGTCATGGATTTTTCATCTTCCCTATAGGATTTACAGACAAATAATTGGTGGGTGCAATATGGGGAAAGCATTAACATAGGTTATTGGCCCGCTGAGTTATTCCATGCTCTAAGTCATACTGCAGAGACTGTCCAGTGGGGAGGGGAAGTTTACAGCACAAAGTTAGGAGGGCCTCCCCACACTACAACAGGTATGGGCAATGGAAGGTTTCCTGACTTTGTTTTCGGCAATTCGGGTTGGGTAAAACGGATGCGAATTCGGGACAACTCGATGGTGTTGAAGTTTCCTGGATGGGTTGAGCATTACTCTGATGAATATGATTGTTATGACGTCGATTTTGTCCGAGATTATTTAGAAGATCCTGAACTATACTATGGGGGGCCTGGTAAAAATCCAAAGTGTCCCTAACAGACTTCTACAAAAATGGGATGATCATCTCTTGCTTTGATTAGGTTACTTCATGTAATGAACAATAATACCATCAAGAAGAAAGTTCTCTCTTTTGTTTCAGATTCTTACTTGCAACAATGCTGTCTTTGTTCCCAGAAAGAACTTTTCAGTCAATTTTTACCTGGCTTAATGATTAGAATGGAGTTCAAGACTAAAAGAAAGCATTTAAAAGTTGTGAAACTAAGAAAATAAATATGAAAGTTTAGGGGCAAACATTAATCAAGTACATTAGCTTAAATGCAAATATAAGACATGGTCAATGTTTTGAGTGCACATAATAATTATTTTCAATTAATTATTCATAATGAATATTTTCCTAATGAATTCATTAAATTTGAAGTAACTATTCAATGAAAATTAGCAATTTTAACACAGTCTCCTCCATTTGAACAAACTATGGACATCCAAGTATCAAACAGACATGAAACGGACATCCCAGATGAACTTTCATGGAATAAAATTCCCAACCAAATCCCACCTAAGCATACATCCAATTTTTCTCAAGGACTAAATTGAATTCCTTCACTTTACAAATAAATGTATTACCTCAACAGATGAGACAGATGAGGGCTATTACCTTAACAGAGCAATAACCAGATGCCTAAAATTGTACAGAACACTTGCGACTCATATTCCCATTGCATTGACATGTAAATCTCCAGAAATTTATTTACATCTGAATGACTGTGCTGAGGTTGGGGGAACAAGGTGGTGGAGGAGGAGGGAGAATGTAGTAAACAAAACATTATACCCCAAAAGAAGTGTGTAAATTAGATTAATAAACAACACAATAAGATAACTCAAAGATAATTGAGGTAATGGAGAAAGTAAAGGGGAGAAAGAACTTGCTAATTTGAGTCGTACTGTTTTCTCTCATTTTGAATAGATTGGAAAATTCGTGCAGCTGATTCGTTTGCAGATCTTCGATTGTGTGGTACCACTCGAATCACCTGCTTTGTTTGGCCGGAGTCTGAAGGTTGAGGACCGTCCTCTGCGACCGCTGGAGCTACAGGGAAAAGTGGAAGCACATCCCGGCTTTCAGCAGTTTGAGTGGCCCCATTTCCTTGCACTTTGCTAGCAGGACTACTTGCAGGACTACTTGCAGGACTACTGCATGCAGTACTTGCTTGTACCTCATTCCTTTTGGGTGCTCGGGACTTAACAGTCTGTGAAACAGTTTCTTGATTTTCATCTCTATCTCTCTGTGTTGAAATATCAAATGAGGTTTGATTCTGCATACTGGAAGCAGCCACGCCTCCCGATAGCTGATTTGGGTCTCCCATGTACCAGTTAACTTGATCAACAGCCAAACCTGACATGCCTGGATTCAAGACTGGCATGCCATAAGGAGGGAAGTAAGTACCACCAACCATGGGAGTATTGGGAAGAGCTCCAATTCCTTGATGACCAGAAGCTGGAAAGCCATAGGATGGATTCATGATTGGACTATAAGGTCCACATCCTCCATAAATAAAACCTGGCCCAGGGTAAGGCTTATATATAAGTCCTTCAGAAGAAGACATTACAGGGACCAGCCAGTGATGAGCAGCTGGTGTCTGGTACCAACTGCTTAAATTATTATCAGCAGAAACTGGAGTTGGTTGTGGATTTACAGAGTAAGGCCCATTGGTTGAAGGCTGACAACCAACAGATGATGCAGGAGGAAGAGGTGTCTTCCCAACAGCATTTTCTGCTGAACATTCCACATTGTGTTTTGGCTTCTTAGGGTCATCATTGTGCTTGAGCTGCACGCATGATTTCACCGTGTAATCCGACCTAAGCTTTTTAGCAGGAAGAGGGCTTGGAGAAGAATTATCCAGAAAAATACCATCTTCAAGTATGAGATGAGGTGACCCAGCAATTAACCGTTGGACCTGTTAGTTTATATCAGTTAGAGACAAGTGAAGTGATTCAATAATGTGAACCTCAGGGCACAAAAGACGCTATTTGGAGAAACTAGATCACTTTTACCTTGATGAGTCTATGCAACTCAAACACTTGGACCTCGAACACTCTTTGTTGACTGTAGAGTAACAAAAGTTAAAAGAATGAACCATACAACATCATGAGTGAAATCAAAGTGTTACGCATTGAAACTAATAACAACAATCAATTCATAGCATTGAAATAAAATCAGGTCATAAACATCATGTTGAAGTAGTTGCCTACATAACAAGCTGTCCAGAAATGGGGTGAACTGACATTTTCAAGGTAGTTCATCTAACCTGATTGCAGGACACGACCTTAAATCCTCTGTTAGGGTAACTTCTATAAATTTTGCTGCATACGATTCGATCTATAAGACCATATTACAGGTACAAAGCCATTCAACCACAACATTCTCTAACCCCAACGTCATCAAAGTCTTAAAGCTCTCTCTAATTAACTTTGTCACTACTCCCTCATTAAATATGTCATCACAGACTTAAGACTCTCTAAATAAATAAGCCATTGATACCCAAAATTTAGTTCGTACTCTGTTGTTTAGAACTGAAGGTAAACAAACAAAAGTGGAGTGCTTAACACCAATATACAAGGAGACAACTCTTTCTTCGAGGAACAAGTTCAAGTTTAGTGAAAATAAGAAATGATTAAAGGAATCAAACGCTTGTAAATGAGAAAAGATGAGCATGAAAAAGATTCTCACTCCTAATCATTGTAATGCTAGGCATACTCCAAACATTGCCCCTAATGCATTGAACATGTGACCAATGAACAGAAAATCAGTGTTCAAACAAGTCAAGTTGGTCTTCATCTACTATTTCCATCAGTAAAGTAAAACCAATTAAAAGAAAGGAGGCACGCTAGACAGATGAAATGTCATAGGTACAACAAGAGCCCTTTTCTTTTTTCCCTTGATCAAGAAGCATGATAATTAACAAGAAAAGTCAGTAAATACACACTCTTCTTAAGTGGTGAAAGCTTTCGTAGAAGGGAAAGGATCAAAAAAGAACACTACTGTCATCCATAAAATCTACTTTGCTAAATCTAAAAACGTTCTGTACTGTCAAAATATCCTCCAATGAATGCTCCTGTAAATCCTTCATATGCTCCATTTCTGCTCTCAGCCCCCAAGTGCCATGGAAGGAAAATTTCCAAGTGATTACAGAAAAAAGGATACTGAGCAGTGCCCAACCGAGACAGTCATATAAACACGAGGCAGAATCCAATGGACAATGAATGATTAGATGATCAGTTGTCTCGGAGGTTGCCCAGCATAAAATAACTGTATTCACTTTGCATAGTTCCTGCTATAAGATGATCCAGTAGCCATGTCAAAATATTATTGAGGGCCACAAAGATTCACTTAAAAGGGTACCTGAGATTATGAGTTCTTACCTTTTCTAAGGCATAAAGTGATTCGTCATTCAAAAATATCTACTTCTATACTTCCAACATTAGTACTTGAACATCGAATTGAATGAAAGAACAACGTGAGAGCATAAAACCACAAGGGATTAGAAAGAAAAGAAACAGTTCATTGGAAAGGAATTGCAAGTACTTGAAGTGCGTACCATCTAAATTCCTCAATTTAATGCTACCATAGACACACATAGATTTCGATTTTTATATAATTAATACAATAAGCATAGAATTTTAGATGCATATCACCCCAGGGAAACAGAAAAGACGGCTAAAATAACATAAAACTTACTTAATAATTGCTCTTCTAGCTTTCCAGAAATGTTTTTGACCTATTATTCCTACAACATCATCTGGACAGATATCCGTGCCAGAAATTGAGTCGACCATTGAATTTTCAGATACAATATCACTTTTGTCTCCATTCCCCACCCTTATGGCATTATAAGTCCAACCTACATGATTCTCGACAATGTCAACTGGCATGTTTAAATTCCCATTCTTTTCCAAAGAATGAGAGTCCACTCTTGAGCAAGGAACACTATCTACCTCCCCATCTCTCGTAGGCTCAACAACATCGTCAACAAATCCACTCTCATCCTGTTGTATACTGGATCTTGAATGTTGCTGTAACCGAACATCACTAGCCTGCAATTTGTCAAAACTATGACTAGATTTATCTTGAAGTACTAGACTTTTAGATACATTAGCTTCCTGCAGAATTCCATCAGTATTTTCTCTATCCAATAAATTTGTTCTGGACTTTGCAGAATGAACCATACTTTTGCCATTCACCTTCTTTGTAATAGTTATTTCTTGTCTTGAGTGAGCACTAGAGGATGTAAGATGACCTGGATCCTTTTCATAACTAGCTTGCAATATTGTAGAACAGTCGGAATGTTTTGATCCAGGAGACGACAATTTTTCCTTATGGTCACTATTTCGAACTTTATTTTTACTCATCCTAGATTGATTGTATACTGGAACCATAAAATCATCCTCATCTTCTATTTCTGTTGTCTGCTGACTCCGCTCAAGCTGTACCAGTGTAGGATTCACATTTAATCCACTAGATGGTTGAGCCGGAGATGTTCCAGCCTGATTGGTAGGATTTGTTGAAGACAAGTTTAATGGCAGCTGCAGATTTCCATCAGTTCCTGTACCCTGAAAAGATTTTCAGTGTTGGTATTAAGAGAACATTTTTGAACAATCATGCTCTCATGGACCTAGTAGTTCCTTCTATGTAAAAACATATTTTCAGTAATATAACGCAGTGTCTGTCTGTTATGAGAAAAAATTAAACCATTGAACTTGAGTTCCCAATAATTGGTTTAATTCGGGATCGTTAGCTACAATTATAATTCCATTTCTAAAGGAAAGACCAATTAAATAAACGACTAAACTTACAAAATAACCGGTATATTCCATGCTCCAGCGATGAACAAACATCAATCCGAATAACCACAGATAAAAAGTAAAGGATCAGACTATTGGAAATGCTACTGTTTGTCTGTTAGTTCTGTTAACTATATTGAACTTAACAATCCAACTGTGAACTTCTGCAAATCTCACATCAGATTAAAATCCCAGCTATAAAAGTCAGTTTTCAAACAGCCGCTGCTTGAAGAATATATCAAATACAAAGTAACATCTACCTGGCTCGAGGAAGGCGTGGTAACTGGTTTGCTGGAGTTGTTCGTCTTGAGAGGCAAAACCCCGGGACTTAAATGTTTGGATGGTACAGTGAACTGTTCGTAGAGGGCCATCTTATTCCTTGGAGGCGCCCTTGGCCATCCTTTCTCGGTGTCATTGACATGGAGCCTAGGAAACATAGGTTCCATCGTCTTCTCGTCATCCTTTCCTCTCTTCATCCTTTCTTCTCTCTAATTCAACGCAAGGTACGATTACAGATACATGTTTTCCCACTCATTTCGACCTCCTCCTGGACCTTCGATGCCAAATAAGTACTCCAAGAAGCTCAATATTAACCTCACAAGTCGATAAAATCTACAAACTAGTCTAATTTAATTCAAACCCAGAAGCTATCCACCTGAATACAGCTCAAAAATTTGTAAACCCCGAACAACCAACTGAAAATCCTAAAGATTTCGTAAACCAAGCCTTCATACTCCAAAATACAAAGAACCCAACGGACAAAACTGAGCTCCCCTTCTTCTATCAAGAACAACTTACCCGGAATTCATATCCGATCTAATTGAGTTCAAACTTCAAACCAAAACGGATGGTCAAAAAGGCAATAAGATATGAATCGTTAAAAAAAAGAAAAAAATCAACAGAGATAGTAGCAACGATGAAAGAGGAGAAATCGATAGTACGATAACGGAATCGAGCGGAAAGAGAAAGAAGAAGGGGTAAGGCTTAATCCATGGATTTCTCTGAAATCATAGACTCAGGAAGAGAAAGGGCAAAAGTGCGAAGTCGTGGGCCATCTTTGGATTGAGCCAGAAGATCCTTTAAGATATAAAATAAAATATCATCCCCCTTTTCTGCCAAACGCAACACTCGGTAAAGAAAAAATATATAACATTTCATAAATAATATATGCATCAAATTTTATATTTTTGTAATGCTCAAATCGTTGAAGATAAATATTTTCGGTAAAAAAAAAGGGTACGAATTCTACGTATTGTTGAAAAGAAGCTATTTAGGTAACAGTATAATTCAGCTGATTAAGAAGATTTGAATTTCCACCTAAATATTATTGGATAAAAATATTACTTGTTGTATGAGAAAAATGTAGGAACTTGTAGGCTTCTAATTTTCTTATTCTTATTTCTAAAAATAAATTTGCTTTTAAGTATTCGGAATTATCAAAATATCTTGAGCAAGAATCCTCCACGAAGACATAAGCAATTCTTACCAGTTCTAATAGTTTTAAAAAATAGATATATGATAAAATAAGTGAAAATGGAAAATATATAAACTTGAATTTCAGCCTATATCTTTTTTATAAAAAAAAACAATGGATGTATTTAAAAAGTTATTTTTAAGAACACTTTGTGACGGGTAACATTTATTTTTCTAGCGTTAAAAATACAGTGTTTTCTTTAAATTATGATGGATTTTAGTTGATATACTAATTAATAAATAAGGCCACTAATTTAAATAACTATGTCTAGTGATATAATTTAAATAAAGTTATTCTACTAAAAAAAAATTATTTGAGTACAATAAGAAATATTATATATATATATATATATATATATATATAATATTAGAATTATTGTTGTGATGTTGAGACTAGTGTTAAAGACATCTGACTTCTATTTTAAAGGTCGAAGTTGAATCATCCTCCTCAATTTATTATATTAAAAAAATAAATATATCCCACCTTATTCAAAGTAATATATACTTTTTATTTTTCATTAATGTGATTCGATATTATAAATATCATAAATAAATTGGACTAGCTCATTTTTAATGAAGCTTTCTATGAATGTTTAATTTTATAGGGAGGTGTACTAAAATATATATATATATATATATATATATATATATATATATATATATATATATATATATATGTATGTATGGAGCGTGAAGTCCAAAATATTCAATATTATGGGCGGATTATATCGTCGACGTAAAATATCTTAAAAAATAAAAGTAAAAAAGATGGCATAGGTTCCAATTTTTTATTCTCCATCGGATGGCAGTTGAACTTCTAATCTCGGCCGTTCAATTTTCTTGATTGCTCTTTTTTCTCGTTTGGCATCTGGACCCCGGCCTCCACGTAATACCTAGTGCGATTTTAATTGCCACGTGGAAATCCTTTTCATCCGGTCCAGGTCTATCACAGCTGGCAGCAGCAAGAAACTAATTTTTTAAAATTATTTTATTGGTCAATGTGGAGAAAAATGGACAACGATTCCAAATTTTTTTTTTTTCTGGATAAGGAGTAGGATTATTAGTTTAGAATAATTAAAGTAAATTAAATAGATAAGCGCCGGTTTCTTTTATTGGACTAAGAAATGATCACTAATAAAGAAACATATCCGCCTGTGGTTTCAAATAATTAATTGACGCGAACGGGTCGACATTTTTTCCAGTTTTAAATGAAAATGTAAAAGTTAGGTTTTTCAAATTTTGAATAAAACAAAGAATATTAAAGCAATTTGTTTTAAGTGTCTCTTTTATATGTGTTTTGTTTCTTTTTTTGTTTAATTTTTCAAAAAAATTATTACAAATCTTGATGAAAAGGCAATTGCCCCCTTTGTAATTTAAGGTTTTATAATTTTTCTCTAATTTGCTCTCCTTGATTTTTTTCTCTACCCAATATTACATATATATATATATATATATAGAAAAAATTATAATGTAAAAGTTTGTCCCTTCGGAAGATGAACCTTATAAAAATTTGTAATAGATAGACTACTCATCTCGCAGCCAATTAATTTTGAGATTGAATTTCATGAATATTGATAAAATAGATATAACAATAAATGTATTAATAATATCCTCTATAGGTGGATTAAGACTAAAATTCTCACAATCATATTTATTACAGTACTGTATTATATATAAAAAATACTATCATCGTATCATACATGTGTATTTGTGTGTATATAATTATTACAAATGAATGTTCAATATTTATCTTGAGTCAACGTGAGCGCCAATTCGAGTATAGTTTAGTGGATAGTGTATTTTTTGTCGTCTCTGATTCAATCATCACTTTGCAATTGTTGAACTTAAAAAAAAATTGAATCAACATGAACGGAATTAGTAGTTAAGTAATTTCAGTATTCCTTAAAATGTATATAATATTCTCAAACTATATTTAATCTTGAAATGATGAAAAGCGTGAGAGTATACATATACAAAGATATAGATATGGTTTATGGATTTATGTTAATAAGTATTATTATTCTTAGACTTGTGATAAGAACTAAGGTAGTTGATGAACATTAAAATGAAATAGTAGTTTTTTGTTTTCCATTATCAACTTCTGTCGTCTTATAGAAAACAATCTCAAGATATTAAAACTAAAATAATTTATAATGTGAATTAATAACATTGTTTTTTCAAAAAAACAGGAATTGACATTTGAAGATCACGCCATTATTGGATGTTAGTTGGATTAATTATTTGTTTAATTGATTATGAATATTTTGTTATATTCAGTTAGTGATAGTTAGTGTTTACGAGTTTAAATATTATTTTAGTTTGTGTACTTTTTAACTTATTTCAATATTTTTAAAACGATAATTTTAATTTACTTTGGTTACAAGTTTTGACTATTTATTTTAAATTTATCGTAATTTTAGCACAACATTCTATTGACTTAATTTATTGAAATGTAGCCATAAATTTATAACAAGTGGTTTCATTTCGTATAAAATTTATGTTAAAATTTTGCAAATAGATCCCTAGTAGTACGGGGACCAAAATAGACATTTGAACAAATGTTGAAATTACTCACATAAAAATGAAAGTTTTAAGTACATGGATTAGCAAACCTAAGCTTAGCAAAAAATATTTCAACAAGTGAGAGCGAGAGGATTCAAACTCATAATCTTTTAATCGAAGACAATAACCAATTACTACTAAGCTAAGTTTGTGTTGATGACTAAAATAAAAAATGTATTTTCATCTCTCTTGATGTGTTTTGATATGGTATATAATAACAATTTTTTTTTTATTATTATATAGTTTACAAACTTTATGAATAAAGAGAAACTGTGTAGTTTGAGGCTCTTGTTCAAAATTTGGGTACATGTTTTCCAGTTTCAATGATTATCGAATTATTTCGAGAGCGTGGAAGTTTCATTTTTTTAATGAATAAATAGACATTTTTAAGATTCTAAATTCATCAAATTAAATAATGAACTTAAATTAATAGTGAAAATTAATACATTCCATTGATTGAGTTTCCATCTTCTTTTTATTTATTTCATTTTAATTTGTAGCAAATCTTAAGTGATACCGAGGCTAAATAAGACTTTCTTTTTGTGAGTGCTAGTTTTAAATACTTATTAGGACTCATTTTGGTTGAGTTCATGTTTTTAACTAGTTTGATTTATGGTTAAGTTAGGTATTTTTGTTATTGGGTTAGGTATTTTTGTAGTTATGTATCTTGTTGGTTGAATTTTTTGTTATTTAGTTGTTAGTTCATAAACCATTTATTAATTTTGTGTTAGAAGATATTAATTTTATAAAATTTAATTTAATGAAATGAAGTAAAAAATGTAGGATTTAAAATACTAATTAAGATAAATATATATATCTTTTTGTCAAATTACACTAGGTAATATAAAATAAATATGTATTTATAAAATATCATTGTTTGTATTTTTAAAAATGTATTTTTTTTTTGTTAGTTTCATTTGTAATTTATGTTATTTTTATAGAATTTTAAACGGAATACTAACATATACGTAGCTAGTAATTCGCTCTATTTTTGTTCATAAAAAAAGTATTATTATTACAATTCAGTTGTGGAAGTTAAAATTGGCACATAAAAAAGAAATAAACAAGTAAAATATAAAAAGACGAGTTTCGTCCTTAAAAAAAAATAATAAAAATACGAGTTTCGATGAAGTTTCCCATTTAATTTGTTACCCTAAGAAGCAAAATCGATAAATAATAAATTTAGATTCCAGTAATACTAATAAAGCAATAAGCTGCGAGAGAAAATTGAATGATTCGCTCAAATGGCGAACACTCCTTCTCACCAGACGCAGATTCCTCTGCCTTCGTACTCAGGTCACTCTCTATTTCCCCTTTATCGCCTTCTTCTTGATTGGACTTCCATTTTCATTTACGATCAAATTGATGATTTTGTTTTGAATTTGATCTGTCTTTCTTCCTCGTCGTGAATGCTTGCGTATTCGAACTATGTGGTCCGTGGATTGACGCGTGATTCTTCGGTTGGGCATTGTTTTCTCTCTTGTCGAAGCTTAATTTGCTGTTTTGTAATTGAGAAAACGTGGAATAGACTCCACTGATTCTTGATGCAAGTGAATCACTTTGATGTAATTGTCCATGTTTGAGTAGAAGAATTTGCTGGGAGTTTAAAAAGACAGGTCTTTCTTAGTATATACCAATATTTTCACTGTTTTCGATCATTCGTTTGCCATTTTACGTCACTTTGTTTTAATTCCAGTCGCTGCAGATTGCTTTGCCCGCGCGTGGTTTCTTGATAGCTTTCCCTGCGCATGGTTTCTTGATTGCTTCACCCCTGCGTGGTTTCTTGATTGCTTCACCCGCGCTTGTTCCATCGAAATTTGTAGTTGTTATGTTCGTTCGAATGTTGAGACGATGGAATCTTTTCTATGATTGATATTTTGCGCACTATTTAATATTAAATTGAACTGGAGAGCTTAATTTTTCCCCCCTCGTTCAACTGCTCCTGCCTTGTGTATGATCATTTCACTTGAATATTTCGAGCATCTTCCAATGAGTTCTGTTTCCCGTGGATGTCAGGTGAAAGTCAGACCAATCCCGAAGCCAACCTAGCCTTGGTTCCTATTCATATTGTTACTAGTGCATCTCAACTTCCTAAGGAATTTATTGACCCATCGCCTGAAAGTCATCTGGTTGTGGGCTTTGATTGTGAGGGTGTTGACCTGTGTCGCCATGGAAAACTCTGTATCATGCAGGTAAATTAAATGCTAAGAAGAAATCATAGTTCTACCATCCTTGTGGAGAATATAAAATTTTATGTCAGAGGCGTGTGTTGGCTAACCTTCCAAACTGAGGGAGTCGATGGTTCTACATCTACCTTGTAATTTCATTCTTTTAGAACTAGTGCACATTATCTTTTCATCTGTGTTCATTTCTTGGCAGTTTGCATTTCCAGATGCTATATATCTGGTTGATGCTGTTCAGGGAGGAGAGGAACTTGTGAAAGTATGTAAGCCTGCACTAGAGTCCAAATATGTCACAAAAGTTATTCATGATTGCAAACGAGATAGCGAGGTCCCTCTCAGACTTTGTTTCCATTACAGATTGCCTTCACAGTAATATGTCATGTTTTAGCTATTATTCACTATTTTTTTCCCCTGTAGGCACTGTACTTTCAGTTTGGTATCAAGTTGAACAACGTTATTGATACACAGGTGATTGCCAACTGTGAGAAGCCTTACACTCTTCACTTGTTTACACCAGTTTTCCATGCATTATATTTTATACTTTTTTAGCGTGCTTAGCCACTTGGCATGCCAATTTAATGTTTACTAAAATATAAGCATATGGTTGTGCTTTTCATCTTTGTTTCTATTAGATAGAAATAGAAACTATCATATCAGGAACATGGATTCTACCTAATCCACAAACCATTGTTTCTATTCTAGGTGCCTAGAAGTTCTCATAATGTTAACTTTTCACTTCTAGTTTTAATAGAAACTATCAACTGATTTGCATCTGCTATGCTATCTTGTAATTTTTAACGTTGAATGTATGCATATCTTCAGTTTTTTGGAGTTCAGTTGCTATGTTTTTTTCTTTAATAGAAATTGGTTAGCTTGTGTCTTTTCAAATATCAATAAAAAGTTCTTTTTAAGTTTATGAGCTACCTTACTTTGAAGTTAAATGTGTGTTTAGGCTGCAATATGGAGGAAGGTTGAGTAATATGGACCTTCCTGCTTTAATTTTCAATTGTATTGCTTGATTCAGATTGCATATTCGCTTATAGAGGAGCAAGAGGGACGAGCAAAGTCACCAGATGATTATATCTCCTTTGTTAGTCTTGTTGCTGATGCACGTTATTGTGGTATTATATCTCAATCCTTGTACCTATTAGATATTCTCCATTCTTTATCATGGAAATTTATGCATTTTCTCTAAATTTTCTGGATGAAGTTACGTATAGTCACTGAAATGTATTGATTGATAATTTCTTATTAGACTTTCAAAAAAGCAAAACTTGATTTATTGCCAACCATCTTCATGTTAAGATAACTCTTTACTTGCTACTTATTATGATGGTTGTGTTTCCATGAGTTGCATGGTTGCAGATATAATTAACTGGCCAACGGTTTAGCCCCTAGCTGGGAACAGTGTCTCATTGTGAAACCCTCATTTATTTGAAGGATGATTATCATTAATGACACTCTCGTGCCTTTACATTTAATTTGATAGTCAATAGCCTCAAAATCCATGAATATAGATAAGTTATTATATTGTATATATCTCCTTGTCAATCTTCGGGAAGGTTGTAGAAAAGAATGGAGATTTAATAATTTACTGGAAGCTCTGGAGGTGGGAAAAGAGTTACACTTGGTAAATTGGGGCAATGTCTCTAAGTCGAATAAGCCAAGATTGTGAGTTTTGGGTGAACTTGAAGTTGGAAAATTGGCTTTAGGATTTGGAGGTTTCCCATCCTAAACATTATCTTCGGATGCAATAATCATAACAGCATTGGTAATGAACACAGCTTTAATTGGAAAGAGAGCTTCATGACAAATCTCAGTCCTTCCCTTCTCAAAATATTGAATGTGGACAATTCAGGGCAATGTTCTAGTAAATCCTTGCCGAATCATCTGTTAGATAATTTATGAGAACTGATGTGGACTATTTGAAAGATGTGTACTAATGACTGGATTAAAACAGGAACCACCGTTTGGTGTTTGCAATGTTCTTGTGGGAATTGCAGACTTTATAGTTCAAATCATGGGTGTGCACGTTTGGAAGTTTTGAGTGTTATATACTTTTTGGGTGAGTAAGGCGATGAGCATTTTTCTGAATATAAGGAGAAACAAATTTGAAGATAGTTCTGGTCAGTTGGAAAGTGCTTGGAGGAACTAATTTTTGACTCTTTGTAGTCCGTACCCCAAATAAAAAGACTTTGGATTTGATGTTATCTTTTTCTGGGAAATTGGGAAGTTTTTTTCACTATCTTCGATCAACTTTTCGATTAGGAGTGAAATGAACATTTAGTTTCTCTCCTTATGAATTTATTTGTTCTTTTACTGTTTGAAATGAAATTTTTTTGATAAAAATGACATGTTATATATATTAACTTGATTGTATAACGGGACCTAAATTGTTTGGCCTGCAAATTGAATCATCAGAAATCTCTAAAAGGAATAATCAAGAATCCATGTCCAGTTATCATGATCATTGGTGAAATTGATAAGCTTTCGTGATATAAAATGCGTTTGTATATTATTTTAGAACTTATTGCTATCCGCAGCTAATGCTTACAATTAATTCTACGTTCAGCCAATATGTAATCCTCATGCTTAAATCCAGGTGTATCATATCAGGAGAAGGAAGAGGTCCGCCTCCTACTTAGGAAGGTTAGTTGGGTCATTGTTGTATTTCTGTGGAGAATTTTGTCTTCTACCAAGAGGTTTTGTGATTCTATATATTTTGGCATTGTTTTTCCATTATGTGGTGCTTTGTAGGTCGGATGTGCTTGATTCCTAAATGCAATACCCTTCTTTTGGGGTAGCACTAGTATAATATTGAGTCATTTCAAGTCTTTAGTCAACAAAAATGACATGGAAACTAAGATTATTAAATACAGGTACTGACACAATGTATGATTTTAAAACTATTTTTCTGAAAATAAAAAGTTTTGTAAATTTTGTATTGTTAGACCTGATTTTTTATTCATATTTTTATAACTATGTTATGGTATGTTATATGTAATTGTCAATTGTTTTCAACATATGTAATTGAGTATATTGATAAAATGTAGCTCCTACCGAATTTTTTATTTTTTATTTTTTTAAATGAAGGCATCCCTTCCTAGTGAGAATGCTATAAATACACTAGGCAATCTTAAATTGCACGAATGTCTATCTAGAATACTGTTATATAATGTATTGTGCCTATCTACGTTGTATAAAAAACACACATCTTGGTGTCATAAAAAACACAATTGATGAAAAGCTCTTACATTTAGCTTTTTAGGGCAACTTGAGATGTCAATCGTTCCACCAGTTTATACCTATCAGTGTGGTACCTAGCAGTGCGTGGTGCTTTGTACCTAAATACGTATCATCTTGGTCTGCATAAGACCTAAATGATAATTTTGTATTTTAACAGGATTCAAAGTTTTGGGCCTATAGACCATTGTCTGAATTGATGGTCCGTGCAGCTGCTGATGATGTACGCTTTCTTCCTTACATCTATCACAAGATGATAGAGAAATTGAATCAACGATCACTGTGGTACCTAGCAGTGCGTGGTGCTTTGTACTGTCGGTGTTTTTGCATAAGTGATAATGAATATGCTGACTGGCCTCCTCTCCCTTCCGTTCCAGGTTTTCTTTAAGAACTCGTATTGTTTTTGATATTATTTGCACTTTTTTTTTTTGGTTACATGTTGTCAATTATTAATTGTGTTTGTCTAACGTGTTTGCAGATAACCTTGTAGTAGAGGGCAATGCTCCTGAAGAAGAAATCCTTTCAGTCTTAGATGTTCCAGCTGGAAAGATGGGACGCGTAATCGGTAGGAAAGGAGCCTCAATTATGTCAATAAAGGAATCTTGCAAGTAATTCTTCATCGCTTAAATCTCTTCAACTTTAATTTTAACCTTCAGCCTCGAAAATGTCATTTCCCTTCCTGTTTCTCACTTTGGATGCATGAAATGCAGTGCGGAAATTCTCATTGGAGGTCTTAAGGGTCCACCGGACAAGGTTAGTCTCTGTTATAATTCACTGCACCAAACCACACCATAAATCCTAATATTTGATGACTTTCTGGGAAGTTCCTGTATTCTTCTCATTTTGAGATTTTTCATCTGGGTTCTTCATTAAAAACCGCTTAGAAACAGGGTTTGCTCTGCTTGCCTCGAAGTTGCGAGTATCATTGATGAATATTGGAACTTATTGTGTCAGTAACAAAGATGGTAAACTTTTTTGAATGAAATTGTGGTGATGTTGTAGGTATTCATCATCGGATCAGTGCAGCAGGTGAGGAAGGCGGAAGCCATGCTAAGAGGAAGGATACAGGAATATAATGAAAAGAGAATTGTGATGTGATGAAAATGAACATGAACATGGACATGAACATGAACTCAATCCTCAATATTGAAACGTTTTCGTGTTTGTGTATTATTGCACGAATGGATAGGTGCCAAAAATGAGGGATTTCTTTACAATATACATACTGGTAAGTGGAATGTGTTGTGTTCGTAGCATTTAAGAGGCAAATTTTGTACAAAAGAAAAAATGCAAAAGATAAAAAATTTAAGCAAACAGAAACTTAGAACTGGTAGAAGGTAGAATTTTAAAATGTTTTTTTACCTATTTATGTAGTAAAAAATTGTAATTGTAATTCATAAAAAAACCAAATAAGAAATGTGTAAATTTTAGAAACTGAAACTGTATTTAACTTAATTTCATACATGGAGTTCAATGTGAGATTTTATTTTGTGAAAATGAAGCTATGGAACGAAGTTTTCTTTTTTCACCATATTATTGGGTAATGTCAAGATTGTTCGAGTTAAAAAAAATTGTTTCCAGGCATCGAGAACTATATTTTCCTTGGAAAAAAGATTACCCACAAGATTATTAACGAATGGAAACAATGAATCCATTTTGGATCCAGTAAGAAAGAATTAGTTGACTCTTTGAGCACAAACGACACTTCAATTCTTACAAGTAATAACTATATAGAACAATACCTATAATACTTTGCTGACCAGCACTATAAATTTGATAAAATATCTTGCATCAAATTTAATGATTGTCAGCTGAAAACTAAATGATGATAAACACCTAAATATTATACATAATTAAAAGATAATGTAATTGCGACCACTTTCTGTCCATTTTTATCGAGCTAAATTGCTCTCAAGTCTTTTAATTTGGCAGTACATGAAACAAAAGGGAGCACTATTCTTTCGATCACATTAAGATTTAAAACCACAAGAAATGCAGCGACCTATGGTATATTCTTTTAAGGTTTTTTCTTTTTTCTTTCTTTTTTTTTGAATCAAATGATATGTGGCGTATATGCAAAAGCCACTCGCATCAAAAGCTCAAGGTTTTTTTCCCCACACACTCTTTGCAGATTAACAGGACAAAAAAGAAAAAAAAAGGGGGTACGAGTGAAGGTGCAAATTTACTCCTGGAAAGCGCCAAACTGGTATTGTTGCCCTGAAAGTTGTGAAAAGAAATCGTCTCCAATCGCCTGCGATCCCGTCCTACCGAGCCCAGATCCTGCACCCATTGCTCGTCCCATATGATAAGTAGGTGCTGGTCCTTTCTCCCTCTCGTCTGAGAGATCGCTCAGTCCACCCACGACTCCGACATCGACCAGGGAGACCTTCTTGGCTGCAAGCAATCAACTGATGGGTTAAGAGAGCTATTATTAAAGCAACCCCAAAAGTGGCTTCAGGGAGCGAGTTTTCAAATGCAATAAACTAAGTAAACTAATAAAAGATACTCCGAATTTCTGATGTGAAATAATGAAGTGGTGGAGAAGATATAATATTTTAAGAAGGAATAAGAAGATATTGCTTTTACCACAACGTAAGATGTTCATTAAATACCTAAGATATGTCTCAATTAGTTGAGAAATAAAAAAAATTCTGAAGCTGGTAAAAATCTAATATCAGAATGCTGTTTGATATCAAAAAAGGGTCTCTATGCCCCGCCCATGCTTTACCTTGTCAGTTCTAGAAGACATGCGCTAACGGACAGAAAAAAAAAAAGAAAAGAAAGGAAACGGTAGTAATAAGAATTGTGACAGTTAAGATAGACTTACGAGCAGAGATATTAAGATCAATCAATCCTCGACTTAATGAATCTGCCCAAATCCCAGATTTGACCTGGAAAGTATTCTTCTTGGCTGGAGCTGTTGAACTGTTGATAGATTTTCCGTCTAAATTGTTAGATGGACCACCTATAGGATTTTGGGGAGGTTCTGATGACACTGGTTCAGACTGGGAAGAGGTTGCACCGAAAAAATCTGATCCATCAAAAGATTCAAGAGGAAGAGCAGCAAATGGATCCACATCTTTACTGTCTCTTGCCGCACTAACAAAGTTGGTTTCTGTTTGCATAACCGGCTCAGGAGAGGCAAAAAAATCCACTGTTGCAGAAACTGAAGCAGGTTGTGAAGCTTTACTGTCTCTTGCTGCACTGGCAAAGTTGGTTTCTGTCTGCACAATTGGCTCCGGAGAAGCAAAAAAGTCAGCTGTTGCAGAAACGGAAGCAGGTTGTGAAGCTTTACTGTCTCTTGCTGCACTGGCAAAGTTTGTTCCTGCTTGCACAACCGGCTCCGGAGAGGCAAAAAAGTCAACTGTTGCAGAAACTGAAGCAGGCTGTGAGGCAAATAGATTAACCTCAGTCTGTAAAAAAGGCAAAAAGTTGAAAAGAAAAAGAAAACTAATTATCAGAAGGGGAAGAGACTAGACCATTGTTAGAACATCAAAATGGCCGTTAATATATAAAAATATAAATAACTAAGAATAGAGGAGGCTAAGCAGAACTGACAAGCGAAATACTTTTTTCCTAGTCATTCCTCAATTGTTATTACATATGAAGACAAGTCAACAAAGTCTAGTTTGGCAGATGGAAGATTAGATCTCAATCACACATGTGAGAACTGCCCAAGGATTACATAACCGATGCAGGTGCATAGAAAATGATGGACGACTGTGTTTGAGCTAAATGCAATACTGTTCTTGAATTGAAAGGTAAATCTTTAACTTACTAAATGCAAGACAATGCAGTAACCAAAAGATCATTTTTTCCTCCTCGTCCACTGGCAGCATGTATTAATTGTGGAATTTCGTGATATCACAAGAAATCCTTAAGTAGATTTAATAGTACAGTTACTCGAGCAATATTTAAAAAATAAAATAAGCAACTATGAGCAATTCAGTGCAATAAAGTTTCAAGTTACACATTAATATGACTTGTGAGCTAGAAAGATTAACAGATTCAGAACCTTTAATTGAGAATTAGGTTCCTTTTCCATTTGGGGTGAAGCTGATATAAAAGTAGCATCTGCAAACAGATCAACCTCTGGTGAATCAATGTCATGCTTTTCAGAAGAAACAAGTGTTGGAGCATCCATGAGATCTCCAATTAAACTGTCTCCAAAAAGATCCACCCCATTGGGGCTTGGTACAGCAGCTTCTGTCAAAAGTTTAATTCAGAATGAGAGACTCGTTGAAAAACAAACAGATACATGCCATTTAAAGTTTAGGAATGTGGTTTGCTAGCATTATTTCTTTCTGGGTTTTTTTTCCTGATAGATAAGTGTTTCCTTCTACATATATTGCTTTAAAGAATTTCATAGATCAATGAAATGAATGACTGCTCCATTATTCCTGTATTCAGTCAAGAACAAAAAACCATCCATGTGTTTTTTACTACATTCATTTGAAAATACTGGTGTTAAAGCCAAACTTTCCTGAGTTGAGCCTGTTAATAGTGTTAAGGTAGAGTTCAGAAACCTAGATTTGTGTAGCTTGCATATGTATATTTCATGGTTAGTAAGGTTGTAGCTTGGAAATTGGAACAAGTAAACTCACATACTAATTGAAGGTTCGGTTTATGATTCTAGACCATATAAACTTACCCTGTGAGATAAATACCACCTAAAATCAACATCAGAGTTGTGGGTGTAAGAAGATAGCGTGACTTTATTCATATTCTCAACTATTAGTTTTAGTCAACTTCCCAACCTTCTCACCCCCAATGCAACTTATACCAAAGTTACCAAAAAAAAAAAAAAAACATGAGAGTGCGCTCACAAAATTTGAAGGAAATGAGGAAGAAGTTTGTAAAGCACAATTTCTAACCATTAGCGCCTCTTTACAACCTTAACCAAACTAATTCTATTTTACTCATTAGTTTCAAACTAACTTTATTTTACTATTAGCTTTTATTTGGTACTACTATAAAGAAAACTAAAAAATATTTTATATACATTTAATAATGAAACAAAGGCAATGGATAAACAGAATAGAAGAAATGTGAATGGAAAGTATTTATTAAAAATGAAAAAAAAAAAGAACCAAGCAAAATGGGTAAAACTCTCCTTTATAGCCCTATTTGTATATAGTATATAATGCCCATCCACTGTAAAATGACAACTAACATTTAAGCTATCTCAGCTACTAGATCAAACCACGTACAACATTAATTCACAATTATCTTATTGCAACATAACAAGCATAACCATTTCAAAATTCAAAACACTTACTTGTGGTGGTGGAAGTCCCACGAGGATCAAAATCATCAAAATCTTCATCAGAATTATTTGTGACGGTACTAGAACGGAAGGAGGCACCCTGATTTGCAGAGTCATTTGACTTCTTTGATGACTTTGACGCACCAAATGATGTTTTACCTTCATCCTTGCTGAAAAAGAATACTCTATATTAGAAAGCAAGGCCATATAAAACTACAGAGACAATGTCGGTTTATGTGAGAAATCAATGATTGAAGAATGACCAACATGAAACTTTATAAACCTTCTCCAGAATTTAATAACTCCAACTATAGATGCTATAACTACTGATCAACTTCTCATTTTAAAGAGATTATATCCACTGAAATTTCTTTAGTAATATAGTTCCTATGTATATTAGAGAGTTCAACAAAAACTCGATCAAAGAACTACACCTCAAAGAAATAGATATGTTGTTTGTTTGCAGAACCTTCTCCTTCTCCAAGAATGTCACATCATATTCAACAAATAGAATCAACTAAAAATGTAATATTCAATAAGTCCATACCTGTTGTTTTGTGCAGAACCCTTGCCATAATCCTTGTCACTGCTCCTATCCCGAAATCTATCACCTCTAAAGCTACTCTGACCTTTATAACTATCACTGTTATAATAGCTACTGCTACCGTACGAGGCCGAACCTGACTTGTAAGTAATTCCAGTAGATGAAAGTCCAAAGTACCTAAAATTGCACGCGTACACTAAGTATTCTGAAAAGTGAATTCATATATAAAGACTGAGCTCTAATCCAAGGGCCCTAAACGGTGAGATAAGGCACTAACACAAGCTGAATTTGCATTTAGCAACATGAAAAACCATTCAACTAAAAAGTCTCCCTTTAAGGTTGTATAAATTAAAGCTCCTATACTTACTAAATATTCATAGACAATTTGAAGGCCAATGCCAAATAGGCACACAATGCTAACAAAAAGAGACAAGAAAAAGAATTTCAGGATGCTTATTTTGTAATGGTTGATAGGAAGATTCCCTGCAAGCACATATAATAAGCTAAAACACAAGAAATTCAGTCCTGACAAAACATTTATGAAAGTCGGAACCAAAGGCTACACTTTTCTTCACTAGGCTAGTATGAGTATGAGTAACTCCAACATATTTAATATAGCTGATCTTGCACCATATTACCCTAAAGATGGCTTCCAGGTTAAAACCTAAGGCAATTTGATGTAGTCTAATATTGTAACCGTTATTTGTTACTGGGGTTAGTCGTTATTGACTGTTATTTATTTACTACAAAATTAGTATAGGTTTTACCCCCACCCTTTTATTATTTCAACCATGGATCGTAGTGTAAGAATAAGCTTATAAGTATGATTGTCCATTTGTATTGTAAGGTAGTCAACTTAAAAAAAGGAAAAATGAATTGGATTCGTTAAATAGTAACTTACTTTTCACGATTGGTAGCTGCTTTGTTTCTCACTTCTTGTATTTTATCTTTATCATTCAAAAGGGCTACAATATTTTCAGCCTTCTTCCTGACATTTATCCCCAAGTCCTTTCCACTTGGCTCAGCATATTCAAAACTTGAAAGTGACTATCAAAAAAAGAAAGGAAAAATAATGAGAGTCGAGTTGAACTGTATTTTGGTGCAAATTTTTAGACCAAGCTTACAGATATCTGGAAAGTATGTTCGATAATGTCATCCACAGCACGTTCAGATCCATTTGCCACCAAATACTCTATAACAGCCAAAGCCTGAAGAAGTTGACGGTGTCACTCATAAGCAAGAATGGGATATAAACTATTATTTGTCAGAAACCAAGAACATATTAAACAGGGAACAAATGAAATTTTACCTTATAGACAAGACGCCAGTTCTTACCAGTTTCACTCAATCTCGTCCAGAGAACATTCATAACCATCTGAGTTTCAGAACTGCAAAATCAAAATAAATCACGAAACCAAAATGAGTGCTTGATTGAAGATGGAATGAAAAGAGTTGTATTGTAACTTTACAATTTCTTTGTAGCTTGTGCTATTTCTGCCAATGCAGATCCATGAGGACCCCATGGCTCATCATCTGTTGCATCCAGCACCTGTAGCAGTGATGACAAGAAGTTATGAAGTTACATTGAGTTTTCTTTATCCTCCAACAAAACGGGGTTAAATACTTCATTAGAAATGGATCTACTCCGAAACTTAATCCATTGTATCTGAAAAAGCAAGTTGTGATGGCCATTCGATACATGGCCAACCAAATTGAGAAAACCCACCTAGATGGCACTTAGAATTCAAACGAATGCAACTGTTGTATGACTTTCAATTGAATTGAGGACCAAAATTGGACTGACCACGTACCTAGCTAACCGCCGTCGTGGGAGTTGAATGCTACAATATTAAGCAACAACAATATTCCCCCAATTCACCCAACCGATGCTGGAAATGAACAGACCAATGATGTTGATAGCATTTAAATGGTTATCTAGGCTTCTTTAAATGTTTAGCATTAAAGTAAACTTTGTGGCGTTTGATTAAATGATTGCATTTCATCCCTGTGGAGGTAGAACAGGAGCAACAAGGAAAAGTAGCATATGACACCACAAATCATCGTTAAGTAAACAAAATATTCTCCCGAGGAGGGGTGGGGTGGGACATTGATAATTGAACAAACGTTTTGAGAGTTTCTTAGATCTATAAAAGCCCGTTGGAGAGTAAAACCAAAAAATACGAGGTTGACATTTAAATCAAGATATCAGCGAAAAGCAAACATTGTTCAAACCTTCTGTTCGATTTCCGGAACCTTCAGGACCTTCAAATTCACCTCCCTCTTTCTGTAACACCACATAAATAGATTTAAAAAAAACGAAAATCGCATCAAAAATATAAGTTTAAAGCTAACAGGAGGTCAAGTTTCATCCAGAAAACTATATATATATAGCAGAAAAAAAAAAAATTGATTGAATATCCAAATTGACGAAGTTCAACTTGTTCGAGCCTCACATTTCACGGACAGTTTGATCGAAAACCTTCATGAAATCCATGACGGATCTGCGAAATCTACCACGCAATATTACAGAATTAAAATCAGGAAATACGGGCAATTAGAGAACGATCTACAGCAATAGATCCAAAAAAGAAACACCAAATAAATTAAACAGCTGAATTAGGTAAAACTTAACGATTCCGAG